AGGGAACGTTGAGACTTCCTACCTGCATTGGTCATGAATTCCTTTGAAACGTAGGGGCGACTGTCTTGGGGCTTGTTGTTTGGGGCGTTTCTTTGGAGCCGGTCCCACAGTGGTAAGGGCGGCCGATCTGGCCAGGCACCATCATCTTCCTGGTGCTGGGGGTGGTGGCCAGCATGGCCGCACGGTGGCATGCGGGTCGAAGGGCAAGCAAACAGAAAAGGCCGGCCCAAGAGATGGGTTCCAATTTAGCTGATGCCATCTGATGCCTGTGAGATGCTTGGATCTTTCCTGGCTACCTCACCTCCCGAAATGTTGCCGACTTGAGACGGAGGAATCTGGCACTCAGAGACCTGCAGCATGGCCGGGCTTGTGGTTTGGAAGCAGTTCACCCCACCCTCCCCACTTTGGTTTGGTAGATCTCCCAATCTTCCAGCAATGGGAAGAGACCTTCTCAAGCCCAGGCGCGGAGAAGGAAGGGCGCGGTAGTTGACCTATTCCAGATTGTGTGTGAGTTTGAATTGTTGTCCATTGGGTGGAGATCAACATGGACAACTCACTCCTATTTGGATCTTTCTCGTGTCCAAGCCAGCAGACTTTGGGCAGGTATGAGCAACACTTGCTGGGACATTTCCCAAAGCAGCGAGGACCCCTAATAATAGAAACACTGGACAAAACATGAATTTCCGAGAGCTGCCGTTTGCGGATGATACGCCGGTCGTTGCACAAAACACGGGGACAGCGAAGAAATATGTGCAACATTGAAGAAGAGTCGGCCTACAACATGAGATTGAACAGAAACAGGAATAACCGAATTACATTCGCAGGTGGTACCCCAACGAGCAGCGTACATGAGGCAGTTTACCGAGGCAAGTTACGCCAAGAAAAGTCGATCCTGGAAACTGGACCTTTTCTGGAAGCAAGCAGCTGTGCCGGAAAAATGAAAAACACAGGTATGCGACGCAGTTTGCACTTCAAAGCTCTACAGTTTAGTCCCAACTCAAGGGATTAAGGAAGATTCTGTGTATGAAGACCACATACATTAACAGAGCTAACACACACCAAGAAGTGTATCGCAGGGCGAATGAAGCGATGGGAGTGGACACAAATGTTCCGAATTACCAGAGGAAGGTTCGCCCACTAAGTGAAGTACTGTATGATAAAAGGCTTAAACTCCTCGGTCACGTTATAAGAAGACCACGACACCACCCGCAACATCAAGTCACATTTGCTGCGAACTCCTTAGTACCAAGAACTGTCGACTACATAAGGGTGGGAAGACCAAGACGATCATGGACGCAAGAAACCATGAAAGCTTGTTGGGAGTACTCGAACAGTGATCAACCATATGACGTGAGTAACAGAAATATAAGAGAACATATCAAACAGATGGCGATTGCAAAGAGGCTCCCTTTCGATTGAAGCGTCTGACCATATGCTGTCATAGCACCAGCGGGTGTCACCAAGCAGATCTATGGTAGGTTAAAAGCAATGCGCAACAGGTCGCATGGCCGCTTGCAACCTGACTGCCATGTAACGCCCCCCGGCAGTTTCATTGATTATTTTTACAACTTCCAGATCCAGTGTTGGGCTCAGGCGGCGTCTGCCTTCTGCGTCAAAGAGACGGTGAACATCACGCCACTCTGCCTGGTTCACTGAACTCGGCCTTTGATACAATCACAGCACGTGTTGCTTGGATTTGTGCACTCGCCTGACAACTGGTGGATTGTGGCCAACAGTTGAGAGGAGGATATAGCGGGTATGGGGCGCGCTTGTTCCATGAGCAACACGAACAATGCCTTGCCTTGGCATCTCTTATCGCGGGGTCCCAAACCACAACCCCCTAAACAGATGCAGGTTCCTGGCGTTTTTGTGGGAGGCCTCCCCCTGCAAAGGCTGGGTAACACAAATGGTTGGGGAGCCTCACCGTCTAAGCTGGTCTTAAAACAGACCGACCCGGGGTGAGGAAGTCGCTCTCTCGGCACAGCCGCCAGGAAAGCTGAGAGCCAGCGGCTGGGCTTGGTGGTTGCCGCAACCTCGGAGAAGGGCGCCGAGGATCCAATGCCATCGGGTTTTTTTTTTCTAGGGGAAGTGTTGAAACTGGTGCAAATGGTTTATACACTTGCCTTCACGGCGATTTTTCTGAAAAGTCGTCGGATGAATTTCACAGGGTACACCCATCCATGCGAACAAGCACTTGGGTGCTGGGCGCAGGGCCAGGTCCCAGCCGGCAGAGCTGGGCCCACTAATTGTTGCATCCGCGTGTCAGAGGCAGAGTTGACTGATCTTCTGGTCGCCTTTCAACCAAAGGTGACCAGAGCATGCTGAAAGCAACTGCACAGCTGAAGCCCAGATGTCGAGCACCCTGTGCTTCTGTTTTTGTTGGGCCACGGCGTCCTTTCCTACCATGGCCACTGGTTGCAAGTATGGAAAGCAACCAGAGAGCTGCACGACCTTGTCGTGCCAAAACCATCATCCAACAAGTGCATTTTCTTCAGTGTCCATGTGGTTCCAGGATAGGTCGAAGCCTGCTTTCTGGGAATGAGTCAAAAACCCAGAGGGGATCTTCTAAAAACATTGCTGTCCTTTCAATTCACTCGTCCCTTGTGTTTTTCACGGGGTCCCACATATTATCCCTTGAACAGCAACCCCGCTCTCTTGGGCGTAGTTGCTCTGGCGCGAGGTGTGGATCTCCATCTTCTGCATGTGGCTGGCGCAGGGCACTCAGCGCATCTAGGGCTGTCAAAGCCTGCCGGCCACTTGGGGGCAACGATCGCTGAAACAAATCTGACACGTGCCTGTCTCCTGTGTTTGATGTCATGTGAATGCATCGTGCCATGGCGAGAACGCCTTGCTTGTACCATGGTCCCAAACATGGCGATTTGAACCAACCGAAAGGAGTGGAGCATGGAGGCTTTCTTGCGTGGACATGTGTTGAGTTTGGCTTGAACAGTAGGGATTCTCGTGGATCCCTCACTAGGAATCAAAACAAGTGAGGGTCACTTCCAAGGCATCAAATCCTGTTGTCAATGAGTGAACCGTTGAACCTGGGGCAGTCGCGTGGTGTCCAACTCAAATCCTTCAACCTGGCAACTCGAAGCTTGCCTCGTGTCAGGTGGGCATGCGTGTACATGCACCAAATGGTCCCGCTCATGGCGCCGATGCATATCGTGAAGTGAGCTGAGCGCCAAAAGAAGCGACAGGTGGTAGGTGGAATGCCTCATAGAAAGCGCCTTTGTTTGGTCACTCCAAAGCAACCCATCACGAGGGCACCAATCATTTGGACAGCCAAGATTTTGGGTCACCAAAGCAACCCGGGTCAAAGCTTCTAGCTGATGATGCATCTTCATTCGGGCAATCAGGTAGCGCAAGCTATTTGCCTGGAACGGCATGTGGAGGGGGTCCGCTGTTTCAGAACAGAATGTGCACTGCAGCACTGGGCTGTTTCTGGGGTTATCAAAGTCAGAAACTGGGGTTGTTTCCTTCAACCCATCACTTTAGGGGTGACTTCGATAAAGGGAAAATAACGAGGCCAGCAGCAGCAGGCCAGAAAGGTGAAAGACGAGCAGTTACCACAGGCTGTGCCGCTGGCCAAGCGCCATGCACGTGAAAGCTAAGCTGAAGCTGACCACATTTCCACAGCAAAAAATAGATGTGACCAGCGAGTCTCCAAGAGACATATATCAGATGTCACTGGTAAGAACGGATACTAGACTTGAGCTTTAAACAAAAAAAGCCGAGAAGCTACGTCTTCACTTTTCGTTGCCTGCGGCCTTCTGCCCAATTTCCCGAAAAGTCGTCATGTGATATGTGATGACAAAAAAGGGTTCTTTCACTTGACTGATGTTCACCCAATATCCTGAACAATGGCTTTCCAGCATTTAGTGCCTTGCTAGGCAATCATCCACAAAAGAGAGTACCAAAATCTTTTGAACAAAGACTTGAGCCTTACGGCAAGCTCAAAAGCGAACACGCGCCCTAAGCGCTTCCCAGCTGTCCCCAGGCCAGCACTACGCTCTTTTCCACTTAACTCCGGAGGTCGCCAAAAGTTTGGCGAAGATTGCCACTTACATTATTAGTGGGCACTAAACAGCGTATTAGTGTCCCGAACAAACCAAAAGTTGTTTCTCCCAGGCTCATCCAGTACACGTTTAGCTGTTTTGGAGTTAGTAGCATGCCGACGCAGGTCGCGAACAAAAGCCTGTTGCAGAACAAGGCAGGGGCTGGAGCATCCCAGGCTTGACCTGTGGTATGAAGTCCACAGCGAGCAGATGAGATCTGCCTGGACAATGGTTGCTTTCTTGGTGTCCTGTGCGTTGGGTGCCACCCGCCTTTTTGGGGAACATGTGTTGCTTCAGACTCAATATTGCTCTTGAAACAACTTGCTAGCATGTCACATCAGGGGATGGGCTAGGGTACCAAGCTAGGGCGGATGCCTTGAATATCGTAAGTGCGAAGTACGGTTCTTCAACAGTCATAGTTGTTGGCTATCAATATGCGCAAGTCTAGGGACACAGCATCAGTTCAAGGTTTTCAAGAGGCAGGTTTAGGCCATATTGATGTTATTGGTTCTGTTGGTTGGAGAAAGCCAGAGTCCATCAAAGTCAATTGGTGACTTGAAGCTCTAAGTGAAGCAGGTGCTCAAGTTGCTCAACAAGCCCACAGTGGTTCCGGAGGACCTGAACAGCTTGAGGGAGGAGGTGGGAAATGGTGGGCGAGTTTGCTTGAAATGTCATCGAGGTGTCTGGCTTTGTGAATTGTGCTTTCCGTACGCAGCAGAGCTTCATCATCGTTCATTGCATTTGTTGGATCATGACTAGTCAATAGGCTTACTCGCAAAATCAATATGCCAGCGCAACATGCTTGAAAGTGGCTTGACACGCATACATGAGGTTGCACATGGTGATGTGTGCCCGCATTCAAACGGCAGTGCTGCCCCTTGCTGGTATTTTCACACTGGTTTTGTCATAGTCCCCATTTGAGCTGGGAGTGTATACGACGAA